AGACAGACAGACAGACAAACATACAAAGACAGACTGAGAGGCAGACAGAGACAGACCGAAACAGACGGAGACAGCTAGAGACGGGCGGAGGCAGACAGACAGAGACAGACAGAGAGGCAGACAGAGACAGACAGCGACAGACCGAAACAGAGGGAGACAGCCAGAGACGGGCAGAGACAGACAGAGGCAGACACAGACAGACACACACACACACACAAGCATAGGAGCATACCCACACCTGCCATGTTTCAAGGAAAGTGGCAAACGACTCTTCGGCAGATTGGGGCCTTATTTTGGAGGATGATGTGTCCTTGGTGGTGCCGGACGTTGACAGGCGACTGGCCTGGCTCATTTTGGTCTAGCGTAGGGTTTAGGGTTTAGGGTTTAGGGTTTAGGATTTAGGGTTTAGGGTTTAGGGTTTAGGGTTTAGGATGTAGGGGCTCTCCCTGGATCGATGTATGGGCGTTGATTCCACCAGATTTGTCATTTCCCGGTGTTCGGCTTCGAGCATCAGTGAAATGTCCATGTCATGTTCTTCGGTTTTCTGGCGGCTTTGATCTACTGATTTAGTTCTCAGTCCTTCTAGGTTTTTTTCCAGCCCAAAACATTAAGACCTCGCACTGTGGGGCTTCAACGATGAGATATTCTCCTGGCTGAAGCCACCTTCATGCGGGTAGTTCTCTAAATAAGGGTCCCCTTCTGGGTCCCCAAAATAGAACGGCATCCCTATGAACAGGATCAGAACTGCCCATGTGTGGGACACATGCTTGAAGATGTGTTTTGCGATGGCGAGACCTGTCAACCCTGAACTCGAAACCCTACAGTCGCACCATGCCCTGGAACCGAAGTGCCCAACTCCCAGAGATGAAATCAGAGCCGCAGAAGCTTGCTCACCATGATGTTGGCCTAAAGGCCTAAAGTTGAGGGCTCAGGGTAGAGGGTTTAGGGTTTCGGGTACGCGGGGCTCAGCCGGTTTCCACAAGACCTGCAGTGGGGTGATGGGACATACAGTTTTCATACCCTCACATCGTCCCTTCCCAAGGCCGTAAACCAAGAACCCGGTTCCAAGTCTTGTTGCCCCTAGAGTGGCCGTACAGTACTTGCAGTGCCCAGCAGGTCCATTTCGACCATACTCGAGCAGCTGCCTGCTCACTGGAGTGCTGTGCCGCCTGAACGCAACTGCTGGCGGAATTTCGTTCTCTCTAGGGACTAAATCCTATAAACCCTAAAGCCCTAAGTCCTAAACCGCGCCAGACTAAACCCTAAACCCTAAAATCGACGCTGCCCTAAGTTGCAAAACCCTGGGCCTCACCGGATTTCGTTTGTCACAGTAGCTTTAGGGATCCGAGCTTGTTCTGTGTCTGGTGGAGGTCTTGACGCTTCCAAGTTTCCATTGCATTCCTCTTGCAGAAGCTTTGCCAGTTCGGGCATCATGCGCATCTGAGACAGGGTTAGTTACTTGAATGTCCACGACAAGGGCAAAAAGTGGTTTTGAAAGATGAAACGATAGCAGCCAGAGCAATTCCAACTTATCTACTTCCACTGTCTTGAAACAGGGAAGCTTCTCGCACCACCAACAACCATGTTATAGCAGCAGATTAGGGTTGAAGGTTCTCGTTTCAAGGGGAAGAGCTTTTGTGATCTCTTGTACCTTCAAACCCCAACCCCAAACCCAAATCTCTTGATCCTAACTCCACAGTCCTCATCCCCAAAACTAAAGCCCTAAATCAAACAATGAGGTTTCTGGGCTACCATAACAAGTACGGCTGCCCACATCGGCGGTCTGCCAACTCCTCCTATCAGCGCTCTGACGAGTGGGCAGAGGAGCGTTTGGGGGTTTCTTCGTAGTGGAATAAGTATAGTACAACCTTTTGTCTGTTTTGTGGTGGAATAATCCCGAAGGGTCGTAGTGGACTAGGTATAGTACAACCTTTTTGTCTGTTTTTTTTTTGGGGGGGGGTGGATTAATCCCGAAGGTTAACCCTTAACCCATTAGCTGTAGCTCCACTAGGAAACGGGAGGAGTGGGGTCTCCATCGTAGGTGATTTCTTGGTTTCACCAGTTTAAAAATTTAGGATCCTACAAAATAACAAAAAACGAACGACAATGGAGACTATGGGTAAGCGTTAGGTTTTAGGCTGGATGGATTCGGGTGTGTGAAATCAGGGGCCAAGTCTGGGCTTTTGTGGTTGAGGGTTGCGGGTTGATGGTTTAGGCACGAGGGGTTGCTTGAGAGTGTAGTAGGTTTAGTAAGTTTAGTGTTTCAGGTTGACGGTTTAGGATCGATGTAGGATTCAGGGTTTCGCCCTAAACCCTAAACCCTAGGGTTTCGGCGTAGGGATTGCGGGCTCAGGGGTTTTCAGATTTGGGACTTAAGAAAGGTAGGCCCCGATGTATCCGAAATCTCTCCCCCCAAACTGAAAGTCGTAGGTCTAGGGCTTGAACCAAAAATGCACACACAAAATCACCAAAGCTGAGCCCCTAAAGCCCCCTTAGCTTCAATTTCGTCAACCGGTCCTAAACCCGATATCCAACATCTAAACCCTAAACCCTAAACCCTAAACCCTATCCTGAGCCCAGGAGGAGCCCGAGGTGGAGCCCGTCTTTGAGATCCACGACCACAACTGGGGGCTCTATGCCTGGATGGTCAAGAAGGACCGAACCCGAAGGGTCCATGTACCAAAATAGTGTGTATATATATATATATACATATATATATATATATATATATATATATCCCAAAGTACCTATATCGGGACTATTTTAAGGCCAAAGTATATACTATTTGGGTACATGGACCCTGAAGGACCGAAGTGACATGGAATATTGCAAATCTAAGTCTTACCTAGGTGGCACTTTGGGAAGCTTTTTAAAATTTTCTTTATGGCCTCTATATGTAGAGGTACCTATTCATAATACTTTTGAGCCCGGTCTGGGCCTTCGGCGCTGATGGCGGTGCCAACCGTGTGAAGCTGGTGGAGTACCTGCAGATGCAGAGCCACCGCAGCATCGAGAATGCTCTGCGGGGCAACCATCTCAAGCTCCCAGGTGTACACCTCACCGACTACAGGGGGCAGGATACCATTGCCCCCACGTACGACGTGAAGCAATTCGGCCTGACAGCCCCGATTGACAACAAGTTTCTGGCATGGAAGCAGTGCACCATTGACGAATGGAGCTGCAAGTTCTCTCGCTTGAAAGAGGATTTCGACAAGCTCATGACGGAGCACAATAAGACTTGGAACCCCAGCGGCACGCCGTACAAAGGGGAGATGAAACGGACGAGTGCAGAAGACACAGAAGACACTGCACAGGCCAAAGCCCAGTTATTCATTGATTCTAGGTTTGCGGGGGAGGCCGTGGGAAATTGTGTGGTTCAGAGGTTCAGCACTCTTGCGTTTGAGCTTGCATTCTTTGGTAGCCTTTCGCCTAAACCCTAAACCCTAAACCCTAAACCCAACGAGCCGAAGAAGTCGACTGAAGACACAAGTCTTGCATGTCGTGGCAAGAAGACATAGACACAAAGGGAAGTTCTCTAAATTAGGGTCCCTTTTTAGGTCCCCCAAGATAGTACGGCACCCTTGTAAAAAGGATCCCTTTAAAGGGACCCTAGTTTAACAACATATCCACATCCGCCTTCATCAGGGCGTCCTTGTCGTGCGCTTCCTTCGCATAGCTACCCTTAGCTTGCGGTGCAAACCGGATGACATCGGTTTAGGGTTTAGGGCTTGAATTTTCGCGAGAGGTGTCGAAGGTGGGTGTGCTCTTGCTCGGATAGGTACAAAGCGAAGTTACAATCTCAGAAAACGGGGAGCCACAGCACAGAATACCCTAAACCCTAAACCCTAAACCCTCGGAATCATAATCTGCAGGAATCCTGGCATGGTCTGCGGTGTGCAGTAGCTTCATTACTCTTAACCGACGGAGCCCAGGCAATGTCAGTCGTCACAGTCGTCACTGTGGTAGTTTGTCATCACATTTGGAGCAAGAAGTAGGAGAAGGATTGTTAGCAACGCTGGTTTCAAATAGTTCTTAACCCAAATTTTCGGAACCCAAACTCTAAACCTTACACCCTCAACCTTAAGCCCAAAACCACGCTAAGCCCTAAACCCTAAACCTTAAACCCAAAGTCCTAAGCCCTAAATCACCCTATGGTGTACCGTTGCATTCGGATGTTGGGATCTCTGAAACTGCTCGCCATCAGTTTTGGTCTCATTAAAGTTTCGGGCTTGAAGCTGAGGTTTAGGTTTTAGGGTTTAGGGGTTTAGGGTTTAGGGTTTAGGGTGTAATATAGGGGCCTTAGTATTTAGAATAGGGTTTGGCGGGGTATATTATACTCTAATCAGAATGAGGAACCCCCCAAAACCCTATTCTAGTTAATAAGGCTCCTATGAGTATTTAAGCAGCTTGCGTTTGCCTATTTGTTCATGCATTGTTGAGAGAAGGAAGCGGCGCGACTTCTGGTAGAAGAGCTCTTCCCGTTCCTTGGTCTGGAGGTGAGTGAGGCTTAAGTCTCGGATGTAGGGAGAAGTATCTAGTGTTGAGGTTTTCGGGTTGATGGTGTCTGTGCTGTCGACGGGTTTGAGGAATCAATGATGCAGTTCTCTCATCAGCTAGCTACAGTGCTTACATCCTACACCCTGTACTCAGGGGGTGTATGGGTGTTCATGCGGTATTGACCTGCGATAGGGCTTGGACATCTCATGCATCAAGACACGTGACCAAACCCACACCCTATGTAAGCCTTGAAATCCGAACCTTTTGTTCACCCCAAAAACTACACCTAAATGGCTTGAACCACAAACTCTCGTGTTCCAAGGATCAGCAGCCAAGTCGACTATGCGATTTCGAGATTCCTCATCACCCAGCCCCTTTGTCTGGCAGAGCTTTGCAGAATTTGATTGAGTATTACAACAATATTATCGACAACTGGCATCAAGTCCTCTAGCTTTGCTATAGATTTTTAGAGCCACAGGGATCCGAACCGTAAAATTGACCTTCAAATTTTGAGCTTAAAACCCTGCTAGGAGTTTTGCACAGCGGAGTGATTTTCACAGTCATAGCTAGCATACATACACTCAGACAGACAGGCACACATGCCTGCGTGCTTGCATACACATGTTTCTAGACACATGTATGTATGTCGTGGGTATGTAAGCAGATGAAAATCAGAGGGTCCATACATGCTACGGAATGTGGTCCCGAAAGACCATCAGCATCACGGTTTTGGGGACCTTAAATGCCATAAGTACAATCAATGTAGACCTTGAAAACAGCAGGCTCCTTCATCCCTTATGTGTGTACGCTACAAGTATCAGGCTCTCTGCAGGTCGACTTACTTGCTGTGCGAGTACAAGGAAAGCGTGTTTCTCTTTTGGTTATATAGGCCAAGTGCGGTTTATAACGGGGTTTTCTGAGCACATACAAGGTACCTTGGGTATAGCTGCGAGTGTATGTTTGGGAGTCCGTTTGGGGATGCCAGCAATAAATAAAACCTTCATCATACAGGACCTTTGTCATGGCGTAAGAAATTGTTCATAACCCGGGGGGGGGGGGGGGGGGGAGGGCAGCTGCACAGGAGACCCACTGCACCCCCAAAATTTCGCACACAAAGCCGAAAAGTCGCCAAACCACCTCTTCCAGGAAGACCTCCAGCGTTTCAATGTTTGGGTTTGCATTTGGACCTCACAAATTTTAAGCCGAAACCACCACCAAAAACCACAAGCACTATCTAAGAAGCTGCTCAGGTGTGGAGGGGTCTTCTCAGTCCATCCTGATAGGCTGCTGTTCTTCAGTCCGACCAGCATCCTGGCTGTAAGGAGAGAGTTTTCAGCATCAGTATTGGCATTGTGGTTTGGGGGTTAGGATTTAGGGTCAGTCAGTACTGGTTAGTTTCGGTAATATAGCGGCCTTCATACCTGGAATAGGGTTTTGGGGCCCACCA